TCATCTTGGGATCATAAAATTGCTACAAATATAGTGCATAACAAGAATAATAAGGGGTGTACGATGAAGCAATCATAGTCATACATGACATGGGATGTGTATAAATATCTTTAAAAAACTTATAAATGTAGGTCAACTATTTTCAGTAGGATTTCAAATATTAAGTATCAAGGTACAAGTACACAGATCACTCANTAAAAAACTTATAAATGTAGGTCAACTATTTTCAGTAGGATTTCAAATATTAAGTATCAAGGTACAAGTACACAGATCACTCATTAATAACACATAGACAAAACATGTTTTCAGTCAAAGCATGTAAACATATTACGCCAGCCTGTAGTATTTGAGACGTAATTTATCATTATTTTAATCCATAGTCACAAAGGATAAGTATAAAGAATAGTCATTCACTGTTCGAGAAATATGTGCATGTGTTGATACCCAGAGGCGGCCCTGAGGGCGCGCGAGTTGAGCGACCGCACAGGGCCTCAAATTTGTAGGGACACCAATTTTTTTTTGTTATAGTTGTATATTTATTTATAATTAAATATTTAAAATATAAAATTTTTATTATTATGCAAAAGATATTAAAATTAAGAATAATGTGACTAACTAGTTATAATTTCCTTGAATATAATATTCTTAAATAGTGTTCATACATTAAATAATGTGAGGGAAAAGGAAAAAGTCGAAAAGAGATCAGGCCGACCTGAGAACTGAGAGAAGAAAGAAAAATTGAGCAACCGCCTTTTCCAATCATTTTTTTTGGAGAGAATAATTAAAGAAACCAACCATCTTTTTCAATTGCCTCAAAGATAATTGAGGCAGAAAAGATAGAAACCCAATTGCCTCAAAGATAATTGAGGCAAAGAAGATAGAAACCAACCGTTTTTTTGAAGAAATCATTTTTTTTCCAATTATCTTTAATTTGACTCCAAAAATTTCTCTATTTTCTTTAAGCAACGATTGACGATTTATATTTTTTATTGAACTCTCGCTGAAAATTTGAATTATATGTTATCTTTTCTTTATTATCTTTTCGTCAATCTTATTCTGTGATTTCACTGATTTGAATTCTTTTTGCAAGAACTTGTTAAAATTTGAATTCGGTTTGCCTGAACGCGGGGACTGAGGATTGAGAAAGCACGACATAATTTTCTTCCAGAGAAGTTGAACACTTACAAGTGAGTTTTTGTTTCCTTAACATATATTTTCTTCAATAATTTCTTTGAATATTCAAGAAAATATAAATTCTTTTTTAATATTTTTTTCAACGTTTTGAAGATGGATTCATCATTTATAATTTATAATTATTAATTTAATAAGTGAAATCAATTAACTGTGAAGAGATTTACTGTTAAGTGAAATCAATTAATTGTGAAAATGGGTTCACTGTTCATAATTTATAATTACTAATTTGATAAGTGAAATCTACTAATGAAATTGATTCATTGAATTTTTACTACCCTCTAACTCTCTTTTCATTGATTGGTGATACACGGGTTTTTGAAGAATCAAGATTGATTTAATTCCTGTTACTGTTGCATCTGCTGGAAGAAAATTTTCAAAATTGAAGTTATTAAAATCTTATTTATGATCAACTATGAACGATTGAATGGATTGATTTGGATATCTATTGAGCAAAACTTTCTAAAAAATATTGATTACGAAAGTTTAATTAGTGAATTTGTTTTTAAAAATGCGAGAAAAAATATTTTTACATGATTTGTAACATTTTCAAGCTTTACACTTGACTTGATTAGTATATTTGTTTCAAGGTTTGCTTATATGGAATTGCACGAAGAGGTTAGTGGTTTGAATGGTTCTTTGTTGATGACACATGAATTTTGATGAAGTTCGAGAGATGTTTTTGAGCTTTATTTATGTTTTTCTTGTCTGTGCATGTTAAAAAAACAAATATTTAAATATCATATTTTTGCAATGAAATAATATTATTGAAATATTTCTTTTACTCTATGTTTTAATCACTTGAAGTGGGCACCATTTAAAAATTTTGCACAGGGTATCTAGAATCTTAAGGTCAGCTCTGTTGATACCAAATGCTGATACTAGGGTGCTGATATTGTTACTGTGTTTTTTGCCATGAAAACTCAACACTCATAGCTCACACCCAACCCACGTCCACTATTCTCGTGTGCTTTCTACTGCCATACACTCTGACCGTATTAAGTTCCACCACCTCCACTTTGCCACATTTTCGTCGTAATTAATGTTCTTAACTTTAGCTCATTTATGTAATTATGTCATCCTTTTTTTTTTTTTTTTGTCAAATTCTTGTCACCAACCTTTTAGTAAGTCGTACATCTTATCTTTGACGGTGGTTTTCCTTCAATATTTTTAGATGTCATTAAATAAGTTACTTGTCTCGTTTTTTTAAATAATCAAGATAAAAAAAAAACAAATATACAAATTTTAAAGAATATATGTCCTTCATTTCAATGCATGTTAGCAATATATTTGGAAATAAATCGCCATTAGAGACAAGATAGGATAATTATTTGAAAGTTAACGATAAATATGGGATGAAAAATCTTAAAGGTATAAGTGCAAAAATAAATAAATATTGGAGACATTTATCGAAATTAAAATGTGACTAATAGAAAATGTGGTGTAATAAAATTCCCCTTCATAAAATAATTAGATAGCTAATAGAAAAAACCCCTCACGCGATCTCTTATATTCTTATCGAAACAAATAATTAACTATGAATAACCCAAAAAGTGCAATATCATCCTATTTAAACCCACTAAAGAAATTTGTATCCATATAGTTGACGTAAGCATCCCTGCCCTGCTGATATAGAAATTTGTTCATCTTGCTGGAAAACTACCGCCAACAATGCATTTGATAGTGCAAAATTTACCCTTCCCTAACCAGGCAAGTTAATATTGACAGAGTCACATTTTTCATTTTCCCCCTTTTTGGACGACGTAATGGATCTCAAAACTAATCAAAGATTTGTAAGAGCAAATGCCTAAAATACACCACGGTTGGGTTCGAGACTATTTCCCCGAAATCTATGCGCATTTTTTTTTGACAAAATTTACATAGTCAAGGGGTTTATACTTTAATTTATTGAGAGTTGTGAGTAGGAATGTCAATTTAACTCATCAGTTCGAACCACACTGTGCCTCGGCCCGAAAAAGCTCGAGCCAACTCGAGGTTTGACCAGAGCCCCATTTTGGAAAATCAGCTCGAGCCCGTGTGGCTTGTCGACTCGGGCTCATAGGCCTTAAAAATGTGAAAATGTTAGACAGTTTAAGGCAGCAATATCACTTTTAAGGCAACAGTTATTATAATAATAATTACAAAAGGTGTTGGGCCAAGCTCAGAAAGGCCCAATCGAAGTCCGGCCTAGGTTTTTTGGTCGAGCAAAACTCGGCTCGACTCTTGCCCAAAAAAAGCTCTACCATTTTACTTGAGTCAAGCTCGACCTCAAGTTTTGACTCGCAAGCTGGCTCGATTTGAATCGATTCGACTTGTTGACATCCCTAATTGCGAGAAAGGTGATCAAATTGGAGTTTCTTATATGGAATTGTGAAGATGAAGAGACAGAACGATTTTTAAAAAGTGTAAGATGAAGATATGTTGGATGGATAGAAATGATCCCTGCCCCCAATGAGTAGAAGTTTATAATATCCACTGCTGACATGTCATTGCCACATCATTGAGATAATCAACTTTTTATTTTTTATTTTTTTGGCTTGTCAAAAATTGCGACATGACAATGGTGGATTTACTTTATCCTGCCCATATGGAAAAGGATTAAGAGACAATTTTATACTCTAAAAAGTCGGCAAGTTCAATTCACTGGCTGATGTCTAAAGGCCCGTCGACTGCATATTTTCCTAGAAGACTGGATGGCACTGTTAAAATTTGAAGGTTAGGGACTTACTAGACATTTTGAAAAGATTAGAGACCCTAACTGCAATTTTCCCTAATATATATGGAAAGCTGTGATCCGTTGCAGGATACCACTAGCGCACTACTTTTGACTCTCAATTATTCGCCCAACTTAAAGGCAAGTTTTACTTTATTCCAAAGCGGTGGTTTAAATTTATTTTGTTTCACGTTGGTCACTATACTTTAGTTTATTCTAATTCAATCATTGAACTTTAACATTTGTTGCGTATTGATAATTAAACTTTAATTTATTCAAAACCAGTCATTGAACTTTAAGATTAAACTTTAATTTATTCCAAACCAGACATTGCTAATCAAAATTTACTCAAAATGCCATATATTTTTCCATATTAGAGATAGGATTTACTTCAAAACTTCTTAAATCTATGCTAATCAATTTCTAAGATGAAAGGAGGCTAATAAAGTGACCAATGCAAAACAAATTTTATAGTAATCTAACTAATATGGAACAAATTAAGTTCATATTTGACAAAGCTTAATTTTTTTATCTGCAAATTTTATCGGACCCACAACTATCTTACATTTATTTTCCATACATTCTGCAGAACTCATAAATTATATTTAAATTGTCAATCGTGCTTTTTATCCATGTAAGTAACAGTCGTAGGATTCACAAATCATTACCCACTTATTGCCTCCGTTTGGCCCCCATTTTGTGGTAATGAAAATGGATGAAATAGTATTTTTTTTGAAAAATGAATGGTTGAAAAAGAAGGAAAAGTTTTCAATTTACGTACAATATTATTTTATGGAAAATTGTGTGGTTAAAAATAGAAGAGAGAAAAATGAAATGTACTGAAATGAAAATTAATGGTAGTCAAACGGCGGCATTATTTATATATTCTGTAGAATCCAATATCTTATAAGTACTACTAAACATGTTCTAAAATTCAGTGACTAATGTAAAACATGGTTTAAAGTTATATGATTAGTTTAGAACAAATTAAAGTATAGTGGCTAAATTGAAAGCTTTCTATAAGTTCAGTAACTCATTAACCAGGCTGACTACCGTGACTACCAATCAAAGAGATACCTTCCGCTGCTTGAATTCACTCAATCTGTGCTTGGTATATATTTCCTGAACAGTTAGTTAGATGGAGTAGGTGAATCATCCAAATTTTCCCTTCCCTCGTTCTCAGTTCCTTCGAGAGAGAAGAGGGGTAGACTCCTGACTGCAGAATCTGCTGTTTTCCACCGACCTAATTCTTCAATGGGTGCTATAAAGGCAGCGGTAGCCGATGGGGTGTTGACTTTTATGTGGGTTTTTTGCGCATCGACTTTGGGCGCACTCACTTTTGTGGTGGCTTCTGCTCTCGGAGTATCCCAAGGACTACCCACTCTTCTCGTCACTACTGTCCTTGTTTTTGTACTGCTGTTCGTGTTCGGCATCATCGGCGATTTCTTGGGCGGCGCCACCTTCAATCCCACTGCAATCGCTGCTTTCTATGCCGCTGGTATTGGAGGCGCCGATTCTCTCTTCTCTGCTGCCCTCCGCTTTCCTGCCCAGGTATGAATCATGTGATTAGTCAGATATTGATCATGTTTCTTGAGAGTATGTAATCCTACTTGCTTGATTCAAATGTAGATTAGTATGTGAATATTGTCAGTCGATGATATGTTTGTGAAAATCTAGATTGCTTAGGGCTAGATCTATATAATGGAATTTAAGATTTTAAAAAAAAGGAGGTCTCCCTTGACAGATGATATAGTTGAGAAAACTAACAGATTTGAACTGAACGACCAAATTTAAATAAAAGGCACACATGAATAATGAGTTTGCAAATAATAAACTTTGGTGACTAACACGAAAATTTTACCACAATTTAAGTGTATACTATGCAGGGAATGAAAATGCTAAAGTTATTACTTTTATCCTTGACAGGCGGCTGGTGCAGTAGGTGGTGCTCTTGCAATTATGGAGGTTATGCCAATGCAGTACAAACACATGCTTGGGGGTCCTTCATTGAAGGTTGACCTGCACACTGGAGCTATTGCTGAGGGCGTTTTGACTTTCACAATTACCTTTGCTGTCCTTCTCATAGTCCTTAGGGGTCCAAGCAACCCACTAGTGAAGAATTGGTTGCTTGCCATGGCAACTGTTTCGGCAGTCGTTGCCGGTTCAAGTTATACTGGACCTTCGATGAATCCTGCCAATGTAAGTGACATATCTCTTTTCCATTCTATCGCTAGATTCTGAAATTATATGATGATCTATGTCTTATTGTGGAATACCCTAATCCTTAAAAATTGCTGAGTAATCAAAAAATTAAAGAAACAAAATAACATGAGGTGAGAGTTTCTCTTTCCCATAGCACATAAGGACAACGTATCTGCTGAACCTTTCTTCTAATTTTTTTTTTCACATCCCAAGCCAACCTGGAATAGAGTAGTTACTTTTCTCAATATGGTACCCGACCGTGTTTCTTTAAAATAAAAAAATGTTTATATGTAATGTGATTGAGCTTAGACATCTGAAGCACAATTTAGAGTACTGCTCGCATTTGGCTCCCATATTTCCATTTAAGAGGTCCACGAGTCGCATCATTATTGTCCTGTTGTGGGATGTCAAATTATCCTCAACTACCAAGTTTCTCTTTCCGTCTATGTGCCACCTTGTGATTGATCGATTAAGTGCTGTTACCCTAATTAGGACCCACAGCAAAACAGTAACCCTTTCCTTTACATTGACCTTAAGTGGGTTTGGAAGTTCCATCTATCGTAAACTTCAGATCACTTTCCACATGATTGGATTTTTCTCCAACCTTGGAATAACCAATCATTTTCGTATTGAGTCCTGAAAACTCCAGCTTGATCATTAACTTTCAGATTCAAAGAATATAGTTTTAGCTTTTGCTCATTTTGACCATTATGGTCTGGTAGTGGCATTGATTTCCAGACTCAGCCATTACTTGGGAGCATTTGTTGAAATAGCATCTGCTGTAGGAATAAGGACAATGTCTTGGGAAAGTCAATTTTGGAGAGATGAAAAGCTTGCTGGTACATCAGTTATATAACCGGTTGTAGAAAGTTGCATTGGAATTGAATAGCGCATGCTGAGCACGCAATAGAATGCATGCTTCAATTAATTAGTAGAGAAATGATAAAATTACATATGAAGAAGAATGATGAAGACTTTAAAATTTTCAGCTCAAGCTTCTAATACTTAGGTTTCTTCCAACCGAAGCTACTATTTATTCACTTTGGTGCGTGGGACTTGGGCACCTATATCCAACTCAAGTTCAATGTGTATCTTTTTCAAGTTTCACGCTATTAAACTAATGAAGTTTTCTGGGGAAAGTGTGTTAAAATTCTGTCTGGAAGTAAACTACTGCAGAGTTTTCTTGAAAAAGTAATCTGTCTTTCTCAACTATTTTTGTGGCCATAAATTAGGTTCATTAATGGATTAATTATGTCATGACCATTTCGCTAATAATCTACTACACAATTGCTGAACAATTGAAATATGCCCGACGCAATGAAGGAATTGTGAGAATAAAAAGTTTGAGACTTGAGATGAACCAAAAAGGAAGTTTCTCACTTCACCACAGTGCTAGCCTGAATAAGGATGGAGATTAGAGAATAATCACAAGCAAATTAAAGGGCTTAGGATTAAATTAAATCCAAGCTATCCAATACTTAGTCATATTAGTCAGACAAAATGTCTGATTTTTATACATGCATTTGGAATAAAATATGAATTTTTAGTTTTCATTTTTTTTTGAGTTCCTATTTTTTTTCCCACATGTCAAAACTTTATTATATTGAAAAACATAAATAGGTATCTAAAACTAATAAGTAATAATTTATAATGAGTTAGTATTTAATCCAATTAGGAAACCTTCTATTTTTTTGTATGTGCTTAGTTAAAAATAAAATATCCAAATATAAATACCCTCTAAAACTCAATTAAATCATCACTTGGCAATTCTGAGTAATTAACCACCAATGGTTTGGCCAATGACCTTAGGACGAACAAAAGTATCTAAGCTCTAATGAGATCCCCTGAATACTGGGCAAATTATGTTGAAGTAACATTATTGTATCTTGTCCATAACCTACCAATAACTTTGAATGCCCTTATGGAATGAATATCCTCGACCCATAGAAATGGAAAATTATCAACCTTTTAGGTTACATTTTGACATTCCAATCTTCCTTGATTCACTAATTCGAACCATGTGTGTAACGCTTCGAGATCTTTTTCATCTTCATTATTTTATTCTTTTATAAAAATAGGCTCAAGGTGTTACTAACATCTTCTTTGTCTAATTTAAAAAGAAATATCAGTTTCATTAAGTGTTGAAAATGCATAAAAATAACTATTAAATAATGTGCACAAAATTCAATATGAAGATGTTCTTTAAATAAAAGTTTGACAATTATCTTTTTCAGAAAATTTACTTGGCGATCCCATAAGCTACACTCGGTCAATCTTATATGCCTCCAAACGACCCGTTCTCATCTGAAAGGTATTGTAAAAGTGTATTTTGAAAACATTCAGTAAGAATACGAGCACATTTTTATTAACACGATATAAATATAAAACTGACATAATATATCGACATTTCTTAGATTTAGAGTTCAAGGAATTTATTAAGAATTCCCATATCCCCTAAGATTTAACATTTTTGACTAAACAGTCCATCCCGTAGGATTTAACATTTTTGACCTAACGGTCCATCTAGAAGGATTTAACATAGAGTTCGACTGAAGGCCTCATAGCATTTTATGCCAAAAATTATACAAACATCAAGGAATAAGAATTTACCATTTTGCACGATGTATTCTTACCTCAATGATACCAAAACAAAATATGAAAATATGGTTTGTAGAATAGAAAAATAAATTATTTCTAATAGATTGTGTGTATGTGAATTTATAGGGAGTGCACCCTTTTTTTCTGGGAATTATAATCTAGTCAGATC